GGGGGGAAAAAAGAGCTATAAAAAATCAGTGGAGAAAGAATATAATTTTAAATAAAATTGTTCTAGGGCAACTAGTTATTCATTTAGAAAAAGTTACCTAGATTGCTGTCTCACACAGCACACAAAAATCAGTTTCAGGTAGATTAAGAATTTAAATATAAAAGGCAGAAGTATTAAACATTATTAAGAGAATACAACAACATTTTTATGACCTCATGACAGGAAAGGATTTCTTGTACAAGACACAAAAGGATCAAAACAAGAAGGAAATACTTAATAAAGTTGACTACATTAAAATTACAAACTTATATTTACCAAAAGACATCTGAAAGACCCTAGGAATAGATACCCACACATGCATAATTATCAAAGAATTGGTGTTCAGAATGTAAAATGAGGTGCAGCACCCACACTCAGTGGTTAGGGCACCGGCCACATACACCAAGGCTGGCAGCTTTGAACCTGGCCCCAGCCTGCTAAACAATGACAACTGCAACAAAAAATAGCCGGGTGCTATAGTGGGCACCTGTAGTCCCAGCTACTTGGGAGGCTGAGGCAAGAGAATCGCTTAAGCCCAAGAGTTTGAGGTTGCTGTGCGTTGTGATGCCACGGCACTCTTCTGAGGGCAATATACTGAGAGTCTGTGTCAAAAAACAAACAAATAAAAAAAAAAAATACCCCGGAATATAAAATGAAAAAAGACAAACGAAGAAAATAGCATTTCCCTATACAAAAACATGGAAAGCCAATCTATGTGAAAAAATTCCAATTACTAGTCATCGGAGAAATGCAAATTATAATCAACACGACATATTTTTTTATAATCTCTGGACTGGAAGAATTTAAGAATTCAGAATTGTAATACCAAAAGCTGGCAAGAATGTGAGGCAATAATAACTATCATGCATTGCTGTAAGAGTATAAATTTGTAAAACCATTTGGAAAATAATTTGCCATAATTTAGTAAAGCTGAAATTGCACATATTCTTGACTCAGAAATTTTATTCTCATGTATTTATACAAGAGAAACTCTTGCACAAGTACATCAGGAGACATGTTTTAAGAATGCTCATTACAACACTGTTTTCACTGCTGGGGCAATGAAATACCCTTCAATAGTAGCATGGGCTTATACATCAGTGAAAATAAATAAATCTAACTACATGCGTCAATATGAATTAAGTGTTATAAACAGTTGCTAAATACTTATTGTGTCAGTGGATAAGCAGGATGAATCCAATCACAAAAGGTCAAAATTAAGTAAAACTAAACTGAACTGTATTTTAAGAGTACCCCTCTCTGAGATAAAACTACGGTCAAAGCAAAGAAATGATTGACACCAAATTCAGGACAGTGGTTTTAAAGGACAGGGAATGGAAAAAGCTGAGGTAGATCTCCAAAGGATTTCAATGTTAATGATCTATTTTGTAAAGTGGGTATTGGGTACACAGGTATATTTTTTATTATTCTTTAAATAACACTTATGTCATGAATATTATACATTTCACAAACATAACTTAATAAGTCATGCAATAGCTACTAGAAAACAATGCTAAGTTGAGATGCAAAATGGGTAGTGATTAGCAAGGTTTACATATTTGTAAGTGTTTCACTAGCACATATTACCATTATGTCTACAGTTGAAATTTGTCTCAGCAAAAATACAAATTGCTGTATGTCATGGATGTTCTCAAACAGCCAACACATAGCTTGTAAAATCTGCGATGACTCACAGACTATTAAATTTCCATTAACTGATCTTATATATAACATTCAATAAAATTTGATATAATTAGTTAAGATACTAATTTAAATTCCATTTGAAAAAAGCAAGTAATTTATCGTACAGAATATTTGGAAATTATTGTTGGTATTTTCTATACACTTAGACAGATAAAAGTATAATATAATATAGACTTTCAGAAAATTAAGAGTGTTACTTAGGATTTTCCTGTACCAGAAGTTGTTTCAGGAGAAAAATGTAAGGATGAGAATATGGGATTCATTTTTTGATCTGATTAGATTCAAAAGCATTCATAAAGTCTTTTGGTGTGGTTAAATGAGAAACTGGTAGTCAATGGCATGCAATGGCAAGGCAATTATCACCTGTAGACAACTATAATCAAGTGCCTACAGACAACCAAATGGTTACTGCCATAAAATATTTTAGTTTAAATAAGATGAACAATGTGGCAAGTTCATTGTTTTAAACTGTGCTAGAGAATCTGGAGAAAGAGCAAGATGATCTCTGGGCTTTAAATTCCTCTTACAAGGTTGAGGTAAGAGACCAGGACATTTCTATGACTGCTTTAAAAGACAAATCAAGTAAATTACAGTAGCTGCAGGGTTGAGATGTCTAAATACAATACACAAGTCTAGTCTTTTAGGGGACTGATTGTGAGATTAACTGAATGCACAGCAATTTTTTTTTTTTTTTTTACAGTTTTTGGCCAGGGCTGGGTTTGAACCCACCACCTATGGCATATGGGGCCAGCACCCTACTCCTCTGAGCCATAGGCAGCACCTGAGTGCACAGCTTTTTACAGGTCTCTCAGGTTAAATTAGGATACTAATGGGGAAAAAGGTTGTGCTGACTTCCTACTGTGTCAATTTAGCTAAGCTAGTCCTATATTACCCAGAATTCCTTTGTCTGTGTGGTGCTGAGTTAGAGTTGCTTGTTATTGGAAGGTGGAAGTGAAGCAGCACCCTTGATGCTTAGAGGTCAATGCAGGATGCAGTTTTGCGCATACTCTCATTGGTCAAAAAGATGTTCAACACCACTTCCATTAGGGAAATGCAAATCAAAATCACAAGAAGACACCATTTGACACACATTAGGATGGCTACCACAGGAAAAAAAACTCCAAACAAACAAACAAACAAACAAAAACAAGTGTTGGCAAGGATGTGGAGAAACTGGAACTTCTGTGGACTGCTGATAGATTTGTAAAATGATGCAGCTATGGACAATAGTATGGGAGTCCCTCAAAAAACTAAAAAGAGAATTAGCGCATGATGCAGTAATTCTACTTTTGGGCATATGTCTAGAAAAACTGAAAGCAGGGACTTGAAGAGATTATTTGTAACCTCATATTCATAGCAGTTGTCATTTATAGAAGCAAAAGGTGGAAGCAACCCAAGGTGTCCAAATGACATACGAATGGGCAAACAAAATGTGGCATATACATATAACAGAAGATTAGCCCTTTAAGAGGAAGGAAATTCGGATACATGCTACAATTTGGATGAACCTTGAGGACATTATGCTAAATGGAATAAGCAAGTCACATACTGTGTTTCCCCAAAAATAAGACCTACCCCCAAATTAAGCCCTAGCAGGATTTCTATGCATTTGTTAAATATGAGCCCTATCCCGATAATAAGACCTAGTGATGGGCGTGGCTATGCAGCGTATCTGCTTAGCCATGTCATGCATTTCGGTGCAGAGAGTAAGACATCCTCTGAAAATAAGCCCTAATGTATCTTCTTGAGAAAAAATAAATATAAGACAGTGTCTTATTTTCGGGGAAACACGATAAATACAGATATTGTGTGATTTATATGAAGTATTTTGAGTAGCCAAATTTATAGAGACTGACAGTAGAACGGTGGTCATCAGGAGATGTGGGGAGGGGAGAAATGGAAGTTACCATTTCACTGACATGAAGTTTTAGTTTGGGTAGGTGGAAGAAGTTCTGGAGATGTATGGTGATGATGTTTATACAACAGTGTAAATATACTTTACACTGCAACTGAACTGTATACTTAAAAATGGTTAAAACTGTCAATTTTATGTTATATGCATTTAAACACAGTTTAATAATGTCCAACTAAAATTTTCATTCTTTTAGCACTTCTGTACTTTCTTTCTTTCTTTTTTTTTTTTTGCAGGTTTTGACCGGGGCGGGGTATAAACCCGCCACCTCCGGTATATGGGGCTGGCGCCCTACTCCTTTGAGCCACAGGCGCTGCCCAGCACTTCTGTACTTTCTGACATAAAGAGATATTCCAAGACGACCTTATGTTTTCTTTGCCATACTCCTGCTGCTAGTCATTTCTTCAAGAAGTCCTAGCTCCTTTTGGTAGAGATTCATTTCTAGAAACTAATCTAGATACTAGATTTACTCATTACTGTGGGGTATCTCTGTTGCCAGAGTCAGTGAACAGAGCCAGGAGATAAACATGTGTGTGTGTGTAAAAATATATATAAATAAACATTCCCAACTCCTCTCCTATATATACACATAGTCTTCCACTTATATTTATTTCAGCATTTATATATGTTGATGACCATGAGTTAGTATCATTAGCTCTAATTTATCTCAAACTGTAAGAATCATTCCATAATAGCTTTCTCCTTTTCCATATTGATACCTCTTTCTCTCTCAGTGAAAAATCTGGCTACCATTACCCTCAATATAATTTACTCATTTGCTCAGTATTCTGACTGTAGACTGAGCCGCTCAAACTGCCTCACTTAAGCTCCAGGTCTGCAAGTATAGGGCCCAGCTTCTGTCTGGCTGCTATTACTTGCTTGCCTGAGTCTCTGTAATGATGCCTGGACATAGGAGGGAGGCATGAAGCAGGGGTGGGGTGGGGAAGGGAGGAAAGGAAATTTCCCATTTTCCTCTAGGTATGGCAACTTTTGGGACACCCTATACAACTGAAAATTGATTCTAAAGGGCTGATGTGACACTAGTCACGTCATTAAGTAATGTATGACTGAATACTTTAAAGATGACTTTTCATTTTGAAAGAGCATATTTACAGTATAGAAGTAGTGAAATATAGTATATTTTTAAAAAACAAAGAATGAATGAAAAACTCTTCATATTTATGCCAAGTAAGAAGTGTTTCTGACAGAAAGGCTATGGATATTGACTCTTCGTCTGTTGGTTGAGGTAGACTGAAGAACCGACAAATTGGTAATTATTAATTATCTTGGAAAAATAAAAAGTATTCACAAATAAGAGGAACAATCTGAAAGATCTCAAAATTACCTGTAGAGTACAGTTCATCATCCTTATGATGTAGTCAAACTGCTGATGGTCTAATATCGCTCGGTTTTGCTGGACATGTAAACCCAGCTCATCAGTGAGACACTGTCTTGCCGCCTTTCCTTTAAGGGCTCTTAGTGCAGCAGGAAGGGTCTGAGGACAAGAGAGATACAAGTGACAAAATGGTACCACTGCACAAAAGACAACTTTCAAACAATTGTCCTGAAAATTCAAATGTATCCTGTAAACCATCTAACAAAGTTATTAGTAGAATTAAGACAAATGGTAAAATAGATAGATTTGCAGTTATTTCTATTTGTAAGCCAGGAAGAAAAATAAGAAGAACTAGTTTATGTGGTAAATTGAAAAAACATTAAATTCTCTTATTTTCTTCAACATATAAAACTTTGGTTACCAAATTGACTGTTGCTTCAGAGCCCGAGTCAAAGCCACAGACACTGAGATACCTTCTTTCAATAACTAGCCAATTTTCCACAACAAGAATAGAAGAAAAAATTAAAATGATAAAAAACAAAAGTGATTTTATACTTGTAAACTAGTCAGCTCCTTACTTGCTATTCAGCTTTAAATGATGACTGAGAAGTTGTACAGTCTCTTCTCACTATATCAGAATGAAGGCAGTAAAAGGACTCAGAGCAACAAAAATTGGTATCGCTCGGTTTACGTATTAGAACTCCTTTACTTTATCCAAGAACACGCATAAGGATGCCTCCTTCCGTCACCATGTAGGAGTTAATTTACATACAATAACAATAAGCTTGTTTAAGAGGAAAGACTAACAAAAGGAGCAAAGGAAAAAGACTGAGAACAGGAATGCCAAATACTTGTATGGGCAGGTATAATAAACAGGATAAGAAAGTTGAAAGAAAGAGAAGCAAAAGGAAATATGCAAACACTTCAACTGTAAGAAGAAACAGAAACCAAAAAAACTCAAAACATAAAGAGGCCTGAGTCATTTACTGTAATGGTAAAAATACTTGGACATGTTTTGCCAGCTCTTTGTAAAGGATGTTCAGAACTGTGACAATGAACTAGTAAGAAAGGGTTACATCATGTTCAGCAAATTGCATTGAAGAAGGCAAGAAAATATGTTCTAAGGAGGTAGCTTTAAGTTGAATAGCACAGTTCCTAAATTCTTTGCAATAACTAAAATTATATGCAAAACATCAAGTTTCTAACTGATACGCCAATGTAGGGAGAAAATTACTACCACTGTTTCTCTTGCAGTCATATAATTAAGTTTGGCTTAACAGTTTTAAATCTGAGACAATATTAATTTAAAATAATCAAAACATGAAAGGACATTTTTATTAGGAAAAGGGATAGAATTAGAGGAGATGTCAACGGACAACCTCAACATGTAAATGTGAAAGTGAAATGATAAATGTTTGCTTGGAAAAGATGTATTTTATTACCTTTTCAGTCTCCAAAGTTTTATTTTCAAATATGAACGCGATGCAGTTTCTAACAACTTCTAGTCTCTGGGCACTATTGAAAACTGTCGTCACCTTATCCATTATCGAAACTAGTAAAAAAATATAAAGAAAACATAAGTAAATTAAGCTTCTTTGGCAATTATAAAAACAAGGGGAATATTACTCTAAGACTGTTTATATGGGCCAGGCATGGTGGCTTCCATCTGTAATCCTAGCACTCTGGGAGGCACTGGTGGGGACTGTTTGAGCTCAAGAGTTTGAGACCAGCCTGAGCAAGAGGGAGACCCCACGGCTACCAAAGGTAGAAAAAATAACCAGGCACTGTGGCAGGCGCCCATAGTTCCAGCAATTCAAGAGGTTGAGGCAAGAGGACTGCTCAAGCCTAAGAGTTTGAGGTTGCTGCGAGCTATGATACCCTACCCAGGGTAACAGAGTAAGACCCTATCTCAAAAAGAAAAAAAAAAAAAAAAAAGGAAAGAAAGAAAAGAAAAAGAAAAAAAAGACTGTTTATATGATCAACACTTAGAGATTTTATTTTCCTTATTACAAGACACTGAAAGTAGTCCTTTTCATTATTTTAGTTACATGTTCAGGCTAGTCAATGGATACTTTCATAGGATTGATTTTAATGATAACACTCAACTCACCCAAATTCATTCACACTGCAAAATAAAATTATATCAAAGATAAACATCTATGTTAACTCCAATTGTAAACAAATTGATAGGAAATGTGTAGCCTACAAATAGGTAATGCTCATATACAAGAGGATTTCTGACATTAAAAAAGTTGATAATTCTAGGATATCGCCAAAGAAAAACTATATACCACAAAAAAGAAATTAGATACTACAAATTTGAGTAAAGGGGACTTGAAGGAAAGAAGTGGTATAAGAAAAGGGAAATGATCATGGCCAGTGAACTGCTATACCAGCTTAGGAAAGTCACTTTTTAGTCTTACAAACTTAGCAACTTTCACCTTTTATAATAGGGTTGAAAAATTCTAATCTATTACATAGGCTACAGTTATATAAATAAATTTAACTTATTAGAAGACTATTAGAAGGATATAAATGAAGGTAGCATTTTCTTTTTTCCTGAGACAGTGTCTCTGTCACCCTGGGTAGTATGCTATGCCATCATAGCTCACAGCAACCTCAAACTGTTGGGCTGAAGAGATCCACTTGCCTCAGCCTCTGTCAAGTAGCTGGGACTACAGGCACCTGCCACAACCCTCGGCTATTTTTTCTATTCATGGTAGAGATGGGGTCTCACTCTTGCAAAGGTTGGTAATGAACTCCTGAGCTCAAGCAATCCACCTGCCTTGGCCTCCCAGAGTGCTAGGATTACAGGTGGGAGCCACTGTACCTGGTTTGAAGGTAGTATTTGTGAAAAAAAAAAAAAAGAAAGAAAGAAAGGATACTTTCACAAAGAACTGTATCATTTGTACAAATGAGATAGTACCAATAATTCTTAAGCCAAAAGAAAGACTATTTATATTTTATGTTACTCTTTGGAATCTAAAGGCATAATATTTTCATCTTCTCCTATACCTAAAAAGAAAAACTATCATATTTTCATCATTAGCACCTCTTTTAGCCTATCAATACGAAACCTATATTCTTCAAATAATATTTTAAACTTTTTAATCTTAAAATAATTACAGGCTCACTCAAAGCTGTAAAAATAGTACAAAGAGGGTCTATGTACACATTATCAAGTTTGCCCCTATGGTTGACACATTATACAACTACAGTACTTCACCTGAATCAGGAAAACAACTGGCACAATACAATGAATTAGACTATAAATCTCACTTGGATTTTACCAGTTTTCCTCAAATCTTTTTTTTTTTTTTTTAAGACAGAGTCTTATTTTGTTACCTTTGGGCCGTGGTGTCACAGCTCACAGTAAGCACAAACTCTTAGGCTTAAGTGATTCTCTTGCCTCAGTCTCTCAAGTAGCTGGCACCCACCACAATGCTCAGCTAGTTTTAGAGACCACTCTTGCTTTTGCTCAGGTTGGTCTCAAACCCCTAAGATCAGCTGATCCACCCGCCTTGGCCTCCCAGAGTGCTAGGATTACAGATGTGAGCCACCATGCCCGGCCGCCTCAAATCATTTTTAGTCATGTAACATTAAATTTCTAGAATTAACCCCCATCCATCAACTGATGAATAATAAAATATTTGATGTATTTGATATACATTTATATAGTAAAGTATTGTTCAGCCATAAAAAAGAAACAAAGCATTGATGCATGTTATAACATGGATGAATCTCGAAGATAGTACGCTAATTTAAGGAAGCCAGTCACAAAAACCACATATTACATAATTCTATTTATAAATACATAAAATGTCCAGAATAGGAAAAGCTATGAAGACACTAGATTAATACCTATGGCTAGGGAACGGGTGGATTTTGGGAGAAATAGGGAGTGCCTGCTAATACACATGAAGTTTCTATTTAGATTATGAAAATGTTTTCAAATTATCATATTTTGCCATGCATAGCTTTTTGCCCAAACTTTTGAGGGAAAAATAAAGATGAGCATTATACATGGGTAGTACTAATTCTGTATCTATTTAAATGTTTTTAATTCTTTTACTTATGCTTATGCATTAAAAGTGTAACTCTATAAAGCAATAATGATACCTGTATGCGAAATAATACACTGCAATATGAGAACTGGTTTTGTTGAACTTATGACGAACTCTCAATGAAAGCATTTTCAGCCAATGAAGTATTTCTCTTTGTATGCTTTAGGTAGGAGCTAGCAACCTAGCCGATATATTTATAAAATTCCTTTATAATGCAAAAAATAAATACCTAAATATAAAAAAAATAAAAATTTGATTTAAAAAGTGAAAATGGAAGATTTTTTCCCTGAAAATCCTAGGCCCAAAACTGGGGGTATATTATACACTATTTACTCTTTATGGTAAATAGTGATGATGGTGAACGGATTAAAAAACAATGAATCATATTTTTTTTTTTTTTTTGAGACAGAGCCTCAAGCTATCCCCCTGGGTAGAGTGCTATGGCATCACAGCTCACAGCAACCTCCAACTCCTGGGCTCAAGCGAGTCTCCTGCTTCAGCCTCCCAAGTAGCTGGGACCACAGGCGTCTGCCACAATGCCCGGCTATTTTTTGGTTGCAATCATCATTGTTGTTTGGCAGGCCCAGGCTGGATTTGAACCCGCCACCTTAGGTGTATGTGGCTGGCACCTTAGCCTCTTGAGCCACAGGTGCTGAGCCGAATCATACAGTTTTAATGGGTGAATTTATGGTATTTAAATTATGTCTATCTCAACAAGGCTGTTATTAAAAAAAGAAAAGACTGTATAGCGGCAGCAGTCAGGTTATGATTACCCTTGTGGGAGGTATTGAATGCAACAGGGCTTCTGATAATGCTCTGATTCTAGTTATGAAAGCTTGTTCATTTTGTGAAAATTCATCAAATTGCGCACTGTTCCTTTCTGTGTTTTATATCTTGACTTATATTTCATAAGACATCTTTATCATCATAAAAGGTTTACTTTAAAAACAGACAGACAGACACATACCAACAGGTGGGCCTGCTGGAACGACACATTTCTTTTCCACTCGTGTAGCAGGAGGTGCATTCTGGTTCTTAACAAGATTTTCCTGTATTAATTCCTGAACCCGGGCTTCATTAATCTTTGGGAAAGGAAGAATATGAACTCGCAAGTGGGATCCTTCTGTCGGGCGTGGAACTTTCTGGAATGCCATGTGGGGGTTTGGATTCTCCTGCAATGTGACATATACATACGATTATTCAAAAGTTCAAGTGTCAATGGCAGATTGTTGGGAAGGGAATGGGAACTCAGAGGGGCATAAACTGAAATCAGATGGATGATTATATGTGTAATACCTTCACATGCATGCCATAAAATAAAAAGTACCAGAATCCTGCTTCCTCTTATTTGATCTATCAACAGCATTTGATACAGCTGGTCATTTGTATTCCTCTTCCGGGAACAGTTTCTTTACTTGGTTTTCTAGGTATTCTTGCTGTATCTTTGTCCATTTCCCATCTTCCTACTCTCTTAGCTATGTGTATACTGCAGGGCTTAGTCCTCACATCTCTTTTTTTTTTTTTGAGACAGCCTCAAGCTTTCCCCCTGGGTAGAGTGTCGTGGCATCACAGCTCACAGCAACCTCCAATTCCTGGCTCAAGAGAGTCCCCTGTCTCAGCCTCCCTAGTTGCTGGGACCACAGGCGCCCGCCACAACACCCGGCTATTTTTTGGTTGCATCCATCATTGTTGTTTTGGCGGGCCCAGGCTGGATTCGAATCTGCCACCTTAGGTGTATATGGCTGGCGCTTTAGCCACTTGAGCCACAGGTGCCGAGTCCTCATGTCTCTTTTTAACACTCACTTCCTTGGTGATCATTTCTAGTCTCCTACCTTTACATGAATGATTCACAAAATTTTTGTCTCCAACTAAGCTTTCTCCTGAATTCCACTTGGATTTAAAATAACATCTTAAACTTAGGTCCCAATGGAGTGCTTAATCTGTCCCCACCTCTAACCCTGCTTTCTTCGGTCTTCCCTACTTCAGCAAATGGCATTATTTATTTTTTCACTTAGGCGAAAAGCTCACAGTAATCTTTAATACCTTTCTCTAACACCAAAATATCCCTTCCTCTGCAAATTTTGTGGACTTTATCTCTAAAATAACTTGGCCCCTTTTCATCAACACCGTGGGTCAAGCCAGCATCTCACATTACAGCAATACAACAGTTTCCTGACTAGTTTTCCTGCTTCTATTCTCCCTCCCTCCCTTCCACTCTGCAGAAAGAGTACTATAGTTAAAAGTCTGTCAAATCATCACGTAACTATTTTGTTCATTACAACGGCCCTTCATCTTGCCTAGAGTAAACCCCAAAGTTCTTAAAACAATTTACAAGGTCCTACAAGATCTGGCCTTTCTATATGTCTGGGTCCTACAACCGTTTCTTTCATTCATTTCTTCTACTACAGACACACAGACTTCTTGTTCCTGTCTCAAAGCCTTTGCACTTAACTAGTTCCTCTGCTTAGAATGCCTGCCCCCCTACAAAGTTGTATAGCATCCTCACTCCCTTCTTGCATTTTTTTGATCAAAAGCCACCTTTCCTGACCACCCTATCTAAAATTATATGTTCTTCCCAACAAACTCCCTTATTCCCCTTATTAAATTTTTCTCTATAGCACACACCACCCTCTCACATACTATACATGTTACTTACCTTGTCTATTATCTATCTTTTTCTTCCTAAAATGAAGCTTCATGAGGACAAATATTCAATTTTAAAAAATATTCTTTTGTCCTCTGCTATATATCTATTGCATGTACAAACTGCCTCGGACAGAGCAGGCACTCCAAACCCCTTTATACTGCACCCCAATAACGGGACACAAAGTTGAATACATGTCAAGACTGCAACACCTGAATTAAATGTGTCAGCTAATAACACAGAGTATTGGGGCTGGCAAGGACTTTTATCCAGCCACCTAGTTAAGTACCATTATGTGTATTTCAAACACTACAGGTAGAGTAGAATCAATTCTTTTTAAAAAAGTTCTCTCGTAAAGGCTGCTTTACAACTATGCTTAGACCAATTGTAGCACTTATCTTTTGCAACCAGAAAATTCATTATTCCTACTGAACTTGGAATATTCATGTTATAGATCAAATGCAATACTATTCAGCACACCCTCTTGACGATTAAAAATGGCTGTCATTGATACATATTAGAGGTGCTTCCCCATAACTCTTTTGAGTTATGTGGCTTAGATGCAGATAAAAACAGAAGGCTTGGGTTAGGGGGGGCAGATGACAGAGCTATCATGTCTCAGCAATATAATAGAAATACTAATGCTTTAAGAATCAAAAATCCGGCCCAGCGCCTATAGCTCAACTGGCTAAGGCGCCAGCCACGTACACCTAAGGTGGCGGGTTCGAATCCCCAGCCCGGACCCGCCAAACAACAATGACGGCTGCAACCAAAAAATAGCCGGGCGTTGTGGCGGGCGCCTGTGGTCCCAGCTACTTGGGAGGCAGAGGCAGGAGACTCGCTTGAGCCCAGGAGTTGGAGGTTGCTGTGAGCTGTAATGCCACGGCACTCTACCCAGGGGGATAGCTTGAGGCTCTGTCTCAAAAAAAAAAAAAAAAAAAGAATCAAAAATCCTGAGTTTTAGTTCTTGTTCTATTCCTTATTTTGTGATCCTGGATTATGAACTTTGCCTCAGTTATAACTTATGCTTATCTCACAAGGTTCCTCAGAAGGTGGAAACAGATATAAAATTTGTTCTTGCCAAAGCAGTGCTCATACATGCTTTATATTTTTCCTCGACATCTAGCAAAGACATGGAAAAATAAATATGTAAATTATCTCTCTACCTTTTCTCTCTCTCTCTGGGTATATACATATACGTTTACTTACACATATAACAATATATATTTTAAACACACATATGATAAATAGGTATTTATAGGAGGAGTCTCAGTATATCACCCACACTGGTCTTGAACTCCTGGCCTCAAGCAATCCTCCCACTGCCCAAATAACAGAGGCTATAGGCAAGAGACGCTACACTGAACAAAACACATAAAATCATATGCCAAGTCTTAGTGAACATTCTTTCTAAACCATATGTTTAAAACTGTGCTAAAATTCTGTCTAGTATTAAGACCAATATAACTAGTCTGTAATGTCTGAAATTTCCCCTTTCAAAAAGCAGTATCTTTGTTCCTTTCTGTTTTTTAGGCATGGTTCTGATCCATACAGTGTCTTCTCAAAAATTACAAATACCAATTCTCTAAAACAAAACGGGCAGATATCTCTTTTCAGGATGGGGAGGTAATTCACGTGGATCTTGAGGTCTGAATTATTCAAAGTCCACAGTTGAATATCTGTTGTTGTATAGATATTCTATACCAGAATGCAGCTTATGGGTTATATTTACTACATTATAATATATTCAGTTGTGTTTAGAAGATTTAAAAAAGACTCACACCCCAAAATCTAATTGTATTTGGTTTTCCAGTTGCTGCGTCTGTGTGCTGCTGCCCCCTAATGGGCAGCATGATAACTGTAAAGGACCACATTTGCCACCTTGAACCTAACTTGTTCATATAAAGATGTTTGAGAAGACATCAGCAATGGGAGGGAATTTAGGTTAGGGCTCATGGTACCCCACATAGTCTTAGAAACAACTGTTCTTGTGACCCGAAATGCTTTTCAACTGGTCCCTCAAAGGTTACTGAGCCCAATTTTGTTGTTGAATTGCCTCCTTGTTGAAATAAGGAAATAAATTATTTTCCAACAATACAAAGCAGCCAAATTTTCATCTTTGATTCCAGAGAAATACAAATATAAAGTAATCACAAAGATTTAGACAACTAAATACTTATAGAGAACATGGCTACAATTTTCTTTCCAAAGAAAGAAAAATAAAGTACCTAAGAAATCCTAGCAAAATGCACTATCTTAAAATTTTGAAGTTGGGATCAGGAGGTGGCCAGCAGGAGCTGAGCAGAGACCCAGCCAGACTTAATCAGCAGGTTCTTGGTCTTGAGGATTCAAAGAATGAACCCATGGACTACAGTGTACCTTTCGCTTCTGTGGACACCTTCATTAAAGATACTAAAAGACTGCTGTCATGGCGGGGAAGCCCAAGCTTCACTACTACGATGGACAAGGCAGGATAGAGTCCATTCAGTGGCTCTTGGCTGCAGCTGGGGTAGAGTTTGAAGAGATATTTTTACAATGGACAGAAGATTTGGATAAGTTAAAGAATGGAGTTTGATGTTCCCGCAAGTGCCCATGGTGGAGACTGACGGGATGAAGCTGGTGCAGATGAGAGCCATTCTCAACTACATCACCAGCAAACACAACCTCTATGGGAAAGATATAAAGGAGAGAGCCCTGATTGAAATGTATGTAGAAGGCATGGCAGACTAGAACGAAAAGATTATTATGCTATTCATCCATCCCTGCGAGGAAAAAGATGCCCTGCTTGCCTTGCTCAAACAGAAAACAACAGATCGCTATTTCCCTGCCTTTGAAAAAGTGTTAAAGAGCCAACCTGGATGGCAACAAGCTAAGCCGGGCTGACATTCAACTGGTTGAACTTATCTATAACCTGGAAGAGTTTGATTCCAGCTTTACCACCAGCTTCCCTCTGCTGAAGGCCCTGAAAACCAGAATCAGTAACCTGCCCACCGTGAAGAAGCTTCTGCAGCCTGGCAGCCAGGGAAAGCCACATGAGGATAGGGAAAGCATGGAAAAAACACTGAAGATTTTTAGGATGTAATAAAGCAGGCATGGAAGCAAAGCAAATGCCAGACCAATCTAGTAACATTTAGCAACAATGTGGTGCTAGCTTCATGCTTAAGGAAGCTATTGTGAAGCTAATAAACTTTGCAAATAATTTGCCAAACAAACAAAAAACCTCCCATGAGCAAACTTAGTTAAAATTCATTCTTTTTCATTAGGGTCTGATATGAAATCAGATCCCAATGTCCTCACCTACCTCTGTTTTGGAATTAAAACCACAGTACAAATGGAAAACGTGCATTAAGTGGTTTGTTTCACTCCTGCACAAATTCTGCTGTAACGTTTGTTATACAGCCTATCACAAAATCATCCATAGAAATTCACATCTGATGTTTGCAGGTACATCTTGGAAAAGCATTGCCATTCTCGGGGACAGCATAACAAAATTTTCTTCTTATCATGGAGAGCCATGTTACTTCTGAT